TTAATAATTCTGTTTTACTGGTTGTGTATTCGCAAAACAAATATCATAACTTGGGGAAAATACATGATACTATATATAGTAAGTGAAACTCTGAAACTTAAAACTGTAAAGTGAAAAGCAACTGTCAAATGTGACTGACTAAATGTAGTTTTACTCTTAGAGAGAATAAATAACAGATCTAGATAACTGTATTTATTACTAAATACATTACTACTACTATTTAAACGTTATTACTATTTATTTCATTTGAGAAGAGAAAAATAAACTCACATGAAATATCAGGAGTTAAACTTGTTTCAGCAGTGACATCAGGGCTACCATCTTGTTTCTGGTAGACAGCAGTGCAGGAGATTTTATTTCCATGATGGAGGTGAGAAGCAGTGAAATTCATAACAGAGGTCCTGACTTTAGTTTTGTCCTGATTCTCCTGCAGTGTCTCCTGACTCTGACCCAGGTTAGGGCTCCATGTCAGAGCTGGAGGATGAGACCAACATGGAGCTGGAGCTGGAGCAGAGCACGTCAGACTCACTGAGGCTCCCTCCTCCACCTCCAGTGTGGATGGAGTCAGAGTCGGTGAAGGAGGATCTTGTGGTGGGAAGAAATATTTTCATCAGTCAATAAACAAATGAGCAGTAATTAATTTAAGTTTATTTATTTTTTGCTCTGTTGAATCCAGCAAATTCACAATGTCAAAGTCAAAGCAGCTTGACTCGTGTCATTTATTCACATGAATTGTCTTTATATGGATATAAAAACTTACCTATGAATGAAATATCTACACCAGCTTGTTTAAAAGTGTAGATCAGTGTATTATTACACTCCAGTCTCAAGTAGTATTTACTTCTTTGAAGAAGACTTGCATTATTGAAAGTTGTGGTGCAGTCTTTCTTTGTTAAGTCTCCTCTCATGTCTTTAGTTGCAAGCAGTTTTGCACCTTCTTTGACCCAATATGCTTCACATGTATGATCTAACATTTTTTTATAGCTCTTCTCTACGTCAAAGAAGCAGGGGATGATCACACAGGTTCCACTCACGACATTTATATTCTGTGGCATTGTGATCCCCCACGTTCCACCTGAAAAAGATAATGCTTTTAATTTCATTACAATAATTTGTATATTGTACTACAGTCGATTCCATTTTTTCTGCTTCTCCAGTTCAGGGTCGCTAGGGAACTGGAGCATGTCCCAGTTGGCATGTGGCAGGAGGCAGGATACACCCTGGACCAGTCGCTAATCTGTTGCTGAACTAACATATAGAGACAGATACCCATTCACACTCATATACTCAAGTCCGGGCAGTTAACAATCACTAGTTAACCAAACCCTGTGCACATCTCTGAACTGTGGGAGGAAGCCAGAGTGCCCTGACAGAATCCAATCAGACAGGAAGAATATGCAAACTCCACACAGTACACAGTGTCCCCATTCAATCATACGAGTAGAATTCTATTTGGATAATAGTCAGGGCATGTAATCAATAAAGTAGGAATATTAATGAAATTGAAAGGTAATTTGTTCACTTTAATATTATGAAAGACAGACATCACAGCTTCTTTTGCACTCTGACTGAATTGTTAATGGAACGTGCCACTACAGACCATAAAGCCAAGTGACAAAAGTAAAACTGCTCTGCAAATACTTTCCAGTTTGAGCACCAGAGTGAAATTAGAAACGTATACAAACACATGCGTAAAGTGAAATAACTAATTTTTTTTTTAAAAAACCCTACATGTTAATATGACAAAAAATAAAAATTGTAGTTAAAACTTTAAAAAATTGTCAAATGTGACTCATTACATGTAGAATTGTTTTATTCTAAGCCAGTATTAGAGAGTTCCTACAGAAGTAAACAATATTGCTTGGAAATTGTATGTTTTACTGGATATTTTAGGTCATATATTCTCAGAAAGGAAGACCTGCAGTTCACTTTAATCATTAAGGCAATCATACATCAAGGAAATCAATTTAAAAAGAAAGGTTTGTATATTTATCAACATTTAGGAGCTTAAATCTTCCATTATGTTTTGCAAATTCCAGAGAAGTCATGATTGCAGAATAACTAAAATCATTACGTTACTAGCTGTTTTAAGTCTAATTTGAACAAAGCCAAGAAAAGTAAGTCAATAGCAGTGAACAAATAAACTTACTTGAAATATCAGGAGTTAAACTTGTTTCAGCAGTGACATCAGGGCTACCATCTTGTTTCTGGTAGACAGCAGTGCAGGAGATTTTATTTCCATGATGGAGGTGAGAAGCAGTGAAATTCATAACAGAGGTCCTGACTTTAGTTTTGTCCTGATTCTCCTGCAGTGTCTCCTGACTCTGACCCAGGTTAGGGCTCCATGTCAGAGCTGGAGGATGAGACCAACATGGAGCTGGAGCTGGAGCAGAGCACGTCAGACTCACTGAGGCTCCCTCCTCCACCTCCAGTGTGGATGGAGTCAGAGTCGGTGAGGGAGGATCATCTGGCAAAAAGATCAGTCAATAAAGAAATGAGCAGTAATTAATTTCAGGGGTTTTATATGCTGTGTAAAATCCAGTGAATTCACAATGAAGTCAAAGCAGCTTGACTCGTGTCATTTATTCAATGAATTATCTTTATATGGATATAAAAACTTACCTATGAGTGAAATATCTCTTTTTTTAAAAAAAAATTCAGATAACTGTTATGTGATGTGAGAATGAGGCCCCAGTTCCAGACTCAGGCCACAGATAGTAAATAAAAAATCAACCTTTGTTCAGGTGTAGCAGAAAAATCCAGATGGTAGCCAATAATGTCTTTGAATGCAAACCAGGACAAATGTGAGTGAGAAAATGAATATTCAACAGTCCAATGCAACAAAGAAATGTGGGTAGATAGAGGCAATAAATACACACTCATTAAATATGGATGATGAACACAACTGGGTAAAGTGGGACTGTAGCTCAGGGGAGGTGAGGTTGGTTGGCTTTAGCTCAGGAGGGGTGGCTGGGGTGAGTGCAGCTCAGGGCTGTGCAGAGATGTTTAAAGGGGCGGTGCTCAAAGTTAAAAAGGGGCACATAGAACCAGGCGGAAGCCACACCCACCAACCATCAGGAATCTAATATGGAACATCATCATACTATATCACTGTCATCAGGTGGGGACAGTGCAAAGCAAACTTGTTTTACCTTGTTTTACCTGATGGGTACAATGTTGTTGTTGAGGGGTTGCTGCTGCTCCTGCTGCTGATAGTGCTGGAGGGCAGGGCTGTGTTGATCTGAGACTGTAAAAAGTCCATATGAGAAATGGTTGCTGATTAAACAAGTGTTATGAAATAATAATAAAATGCAAAGATTGGTGACAGCGCTTGGAACCACAAGGCAACAAAACTGTGAGAAATAAACTAGGCTCTGCCTGTGAATCACTCTTTCTCATCTATCACTCTCCACTTGCTGTCCATCTGACAACAAGGCACACTTTGCTATTGCACTAATCTGGCCACAAGTTTGCATCATGGTGCTGATCCAGAATAATTCCCTCATTATTTATTCCTAGTGCTATAATAATAAAGGGATGAAAATAAACAAATTAAGTAATAAACATGAAATAATGTATTTATGAGGATTCAATTTGTTTGACTGTACACTCTGTGCAGGCAGAAAGCTTAGTAAACGTTTAAACTGTAAAGATACAATAATTTTGTAAAATCAGCATTTTGTCATATTTGAAATATAAATCTAATATATTTTGTTTCTTAATGTATTTTCTTTAATAACATAGGGTGTGTTTTTTAAAAATCATAATTATAATAATCCATAATTATTTGGATATGTGTGTTAGATTCTGTTCAGTGAAATATAAGCCCTCCAGGAAGGCAGGAAAAGCCCTGTAACTTACTTTAAAACTAAATATGTTCCCTGAAACGGTGGGCAGAGCTACAGACCCTTACCCAGTTAGCTGGCAGCTAATGACCAGCACTACTTGTGCAGTTAACAAACGGAGAGGTAATGTTTGTCGCACTGTTGCACACACAGCACGCTCATCTATTTCAATTTGTCAGTTGTCAGAAGACAACTTACCAACAGAGGTCCCCAACCCCTGGGCCACGGACAGTTGTTTGGTACCGGGCCGCGAGAGTTGAGGCTCAGGTGTGAAATGTATGGTTTTCGGGGTTTTTATCGGTTTTTATCGTTTTTATCGTTAACTCGGTTTTCCTGGGTCTTTTCACGTGTGTTATGAATAAATCTTCTTTTTTTCGGTACCGGTACTAGTTTTATTTTGTTGTATTTATCCGCGACACCTTAAAGGCCGGTCCGTGAAAATATTGTCGGGCATAAACCGGTCCGTGGTGCAAAAAAGGTTGTGTACACATACTGTATACCTACTTACTGGTTTTTGTTGCATCCGTCTGCGTCTACCATTTAATTTGCTTCTTCTACAGCTCTGCATATGGCAAACCATTTCAGCCAAATATCGTGAGTTTTCTAACACGTCTGGTTAAGAAATGGCATAAAAAATGTTGTTTAATGCCATGGGGAAGGCCCTGCATAGTTTCAAGAAAACAGCGTTTTAAACGCCTTCACAGGTGACACTGAACGCCAGAAAAAACACAGTTTTTAATCTGTCTTTGAATGCCATTTTCTGCTGAGCGGTGTTTTCCACCCCTCAGAACGGGTGTTCAAGGCAACATTTCCTGGTGTAAAATACGGCGTTCTGTCAGGTCAACGCCATTTTTCAAGGCATTCTGAATTATTAAACTGCATTTTTTACGGCATTTCTTAACCAGCCGTGTTAGAAAACTTGCGATATTTGGCTGAAATGGCTTTCCATATCGGTGCCGCTCATAGAGGAAAAAAATGTGTGTTCTCTTTGCGAGCTTGTTTTCAGCTTGTAACCAACGAGCTCTGCCGTCAGGGGTGATCATCAGAACAGGGCATTTGGGACACCCATCAGGAAAGGGGCAGGTGCTCAAGCCTTCCCTTGCACATGCCTGGTGTAGCTGAGAAGGTAGAGCAGGTTATCTACTATCTGGAAGGTTGGCATGCAGACTGGAGCCAGTTTGCACACCAAATATCCTCGGGTAACGATATTTAGATAAGCTGTTATCGGATGAACACAATACATTCTCCTTTATTTTAGTTATAAAACACTTAGACATAAATTAGGTGAATGGATGAGGCATGTTGTATAAAGTGGTTTAAGTAGAGTAGAATAGTGGTATGTAAGAACCAGGGCATTTATCATTTCCAGATGACCAAACTCTAAATAAGACACACAAAAAAAGAAGTATCAAAATAGATCATGAAATAACAAGTCCACCATCTGTGGAGTTTCTCTTCCCACCCACAGAAGGAGGGGTGGGTTTACTGGAGATTCTAAATTGCCCACAGGAGAGAATCACTGTCTGTGTCAGTGTACACTGCCTCCCACCCAGTGGCATTTGGGCTAGGCTCCAACCCCCCTGGAAGATGATGAATGTGTAAATTGGTGCGGTTTGCTCCCTTCTCTCCTGTTTGGTGTTAGATGTGTATGAGTTATTAATTCAATGGGAAAAAAAATATATTTTAAAGGCATTGTACCAAACCTATAAACACTATTTCTGCAAGGAAAACTGTCTTAACATTTCAGTTTGTATGTTTCTTTGCTCATTTTTCAGATTCACCTAAAAACATCATAGTTTCAGTCAGTCCTTCTGGTCCAGTACCAGAGAACAGCAATGTGAGTCTGACCTGCAGCAGTAATGCCAACCCAGCAGTGAGGAACTACACCTGGTACAGAGCTGATGGAGACCAGGAGACATTTATTGGTTCAGGAACCAGTTTAAACATTCAAGTCTCCAGAGACAGACAGACATTTTTCTGCAAGGCTGAAAATGAAATTGGAGTTGGACGTTCCAGCAGCATTCAAATAGATGTTCAGCGTAAATATCACATTTCACATCTGCTTTACATATCATCAGTATAACCCAGCATCAAAGATTAGGATCATTAGAACTGGAATATACATGCTGGGCTTTTGGAGTAGTCATCAATTAAAAAAACACAAATGTCTTTGCTTGTCTTGTCACAGTGTTGGGGAGTAATGGAATAAATGTACTTATGTTAGTATTTAAAATACAAAATATGAGTAACTGTATTCTGTTACAGTTACCATTTAAAAAGGTGGTATTCCAAATACAGTTACTTTGTTGAAATAAATGGATTACATGTCGGTCTTTTCCTGTTTCATATGTTAGGCTGTTCCCTCTCTATTTTTGGTAATTCCACGCCGGTGGAGACCCAAACAAAAGACACATTAAGAGGCTCTAATGCCTGTGCCTCAATCTCGCGGCCCATGTCACCTCTACTTGCAGCACGCATAATGACGTGACAAATTTTTTTTTAAATTTATTGTTCAAAAAATTATTTAATATAAAAGCAATACGAGCAGAGTGTTATATGCATAGCCCTGAAGATTATAGCCTCATGGGCAGTGCAGCCCAGTTGTAAGTAAGCTACTAAGATTCGACTGTACACTGTGTTCGTGTTTTTCTCTGAAACAATAAGTTCTGTTGGAGCAGCCTGTCATCGCCTCTCTCTGTCTCTCACTGGCAAAGTTCAATTCAATTCAATTCAATTTTATTTATAAAGCGCCAAATCACAACATAAGTCGCCTCAAGGCGCTTCAACTTTGTTGACCCAGACAACAAAGTAAAGCTAGTTTTCGGTTACGAGCCCGACACAGAACCGACGTATTAGCCAGAGGTCCCTTTACTACAGTTCGGAGCCACGGACCTGTTTTATATACACGCGGAATAGTTTTCTATACGAGATCGCTGCGAAAATTGCAGCTTTACCTAATCTCCCACTGTTACTCATTTTATATTACGATTTAAAAATCTAGTCGGTATTGGTGTGGCAAGTATCCTTCAGTAATAGTAATAAATCCCACAGCAACAGTACATTCATGTAGTTGTAAAAAGCATGATAATATATTAGGTAATCCAAAGTATTCAGAATACGTTACTCTCATTGAGTAACGTGTATTTGTAACGTATATGTAACATTAAGTATCAGAATATGTTACAAAATACATTTTGGGGCATGTATTCTGTAATCTGTAGTGGAATACATTTTAAAAGTAACCTTCCCAACTCTGTCTGGTCACACACATATAACTAAAAGTGACATCTGATTCTTAGTTTATAGGGTTATATGATATGATGTCAGCCAACTCTTGGTAGCTATAATAGTTTCAACTCTTCTGGGAAGACTTTCCACCACGTTTAGAAGTGTGTTTATGACTATCCCAGCTGTAACAGGGCAAGAGGCGGGGCACACGCTGGACAGATCACCAGTCTGTTGCAGTGCCAACACAGAAAGACAGACTAACATTCACACCTATGAGCAATTTAGAAATACCAATCAATCTAACTCCTCTGACTGCATGTCTTTGGACTGTGAGAGGAAGCCAGAGTACACAGAGAGAATCAACACAGACACAGGGAGAACTTGCAAAGTTACTGTTAAAATACACACATACGACTTAATGATAGGTAGTGTAATACCCAACATACAGTGCACCACTAATCTGTATGTTTGATTCCTTATTTTTTAGATTCACCTGAAAACATGACAGTTTCAGTCAGTCCTTCTGGTCCAGTACCAGAGAACAGCAAAGTGAGTCTGACCTGCAGCAGTAATGCCAACCCAGCAGTGAGGAACTACACCTGGTACAGAGCTGATGGAGACCAGGAGACGTTTATTGGCTCAGGAACCAGTTTAAACATTCAAGCCTCCAGAGACAGACAGACATTTTTCTGCAAGGCTGGAAATGAGATTGGAGTTGGACGTTCCAGCAGCATTCAAATAGATGTTCAGTGTAAATATCACATTTCACATCTGCTTTACATATCATCAGTATAACCCAGGATCAAAGAGTCAGATCATTAGAACAGAGTTTTATACGCAATGATTTTCGAATACTCAGCAAATAGAAGCAGTATATTTTTTAATAGAAAAAAGTATCAGCATTCCTAAACTGTTGTTTTAATACATAAATCAGACTTCATGAAACACACATTCATATCCATTATATACAGCCAAGTGATTTTGTTATTGGACTTTCTGTAGATTCAACTAAAATACGACAGTTTTAGTCTGATCTAAATGATCGTAAAGAGCTCTTTAGTTTAAACGTAACATTTAACTGTTCTACACTTTACTTTCAGAAGAGTTTGATAGTAGGTTAAAATAAGGTCCTAGCATTCTTGAGCTGTCATTCTTTGAAATTAATTTATAAGGCTTTATGACAGGTAGTGTAATACCCAATGTACAAACACCACTAATTTTCATGTTTTAATACTCATTCTTTAAATTCACCTAAAAACATTACAGTTTCAGTCAGTCCTTCTGGTCCAGTACCAGAGAACAGCAATGTGAGTCTAACCTGCAGCAGTAATGCCAACCCAGCAGTGAGGAACTACGTCTCGTACAGAGCTGATGGAGACCAGGAGACTTTAATTGGAACAGGAACCAGTTTAAACACTGTAGCCTCTAAATCTAGTCGGGTATTGTTTTGCCAGGCTGAAAACAAGATTGGATTTGCACGTTCTAATCTGACTCAAGTCCAGTGTATGTATCACATTTTTAGGCATTTCTATTCATCCAGAATTTTAGCAACACATAATCCACCTCTCATATAATAATTCACCTCTAATAATTCACAATTCATAATTCACCTCTCTTATACTCTACAACTACACTGAATGCCACTGTCCCTTACTAGTAGCCTATTTCATTTTTCTGACATTTCTGGGTATCTGGTGTAAGTATCACAGCTCACCAAAGACTATAGCACAGATGATTTTAATGTCTCAACCACAGTAATAAAATACATTCCTATTTATAACAGCACAACTTAAATATACAACAATATGGTTTACATCATTGCAATGGGGTTGTCCCAAATAACTATAAAAAGGCTGGATATACTTAAATAAATACAATGATGCGTAGTACAAAATGTAAATTGTTCACTTTGGTTTATGAGCACCTTCACTGACATGTTACCAATTGTTGTGTTGTTACATCGTTTGTGTAGGTGTACTAAACTGTATTCAGTGGGGCTTTGACTGATCCTCTCACAGTGGTAACTCAGTTGGCTACCTGTCAATCAGTCTCATAAATTTGAAAAATGTATCCTTCCATTTTCTTCTGCTCATCAAATTCAGCAGTCTGTCACTGGGCAAACACACAGAGAAAAATTGATTCACACTCACATCTATGGTCAGTATTGAATCAACAGTTAACCTCACAAATGAAAGAAAAAGGAATCAAGACTGGCTTACCACTCTACAATTTGTAGAGTATTAAATCTCTTAAATCAGCCAGACTATACTGTTTAAGACTTTGTTTAAGACACTAGAATGTGCTGTTCATTTGGTCCAGTACCAACAAACACCAATGTGACTCTGACATGCTGTAGTACTAACACATATAATAGATATACTTTATAAATGAAAGCATTAAAGTTGATGCTACCAGTGTGCAAGATTCTGTCAAGGGCTATGATAGTCAACAGGGTCTCAAGTGTACACATAAATACTATTAATTATGGTAAAAACAAACAAGCAAACAAGTTGACAATGATCAGATTTGTTCTGTTGGAGCTGATCCATGTTATGATGCCAGAATAATTACTTGTAACTTAAGTATTAGTTGATTAGGAATATAATGTCCATGGCTTTATTTCTCATGGCAGGGTCTGAAATGCACTGTGGACTTTACAGTGGAGTCGTTCCTTGGGTCCTCGCTGGTGTGTTTTTCAGTGTCAGTGTCATCTGTTCGGCATGCCTTTGGTATGTTAGTATGTTCACAATGGAAAGCCTACTGATGTTTTTATAGCATGCTTTCAAATAATTCATTTGTTTCTTTTTTTGCAGCAAAGTACGAAAGAATGTGAAGCCAAAAGAAGAGGACAGAACTTATATGTCACTGAGCGGTAGAACCGTCAGCTCTTCAGAGTATGATGTCATTAACACAGCTCCAAAGAGTCAGTGATGCTGACCTTGAAAATGATCCAATAGATAAGATTTTTTTCTTAAGATTGTAAGATTTTGCTGTATTTTTTGTTTGGCAGTTAAATGATACTAATGTGAAAAAAAAGTCAGTTATCTGTTATACTAGTCTTTATTGAAATGCATTGAATAACCACTGTGTAGCTAAGCAAACTAGCCTAATAGCATGCTTTACATGATGGAATCTCTTTAAAGGGGTGTGGTGAAAGCTGAGGGTGAATGAGCATTCAAGGAGTTGATAGTG